TGTGTGTATAGGCTCGTAGTCTAACATGTCCCTTCTTTTCTTAGAGCACTGCATTGGCTTTTTATTATTTCTGAGCCAGCAAAATATATAAATGTATAATAAAGATGCTTAGAAGGGACGACACATACAGGCTTGCAAAGAAACTCATTTTTGCCATATCAAAGTTTACCTATGTATTTCATGCATAGGTGGGTTTCAGCAGGTTCTGACAGTTCTGGAGAACCGGTAGCGGAAATTTTGAGTAGTTTGGAGAACTGGTAGTAAACATTCTGACTGGCTCCGCCCCCATCTATTCTCTGCTTCCCAAATCCCACCTGATCGAGAGGAAATGGGAATTTTGCAGTAACCTTCCCCTGGATTGGAGAGGGAATGGAGATTTGCAGTATCCTTTCCCTAGAGTGGGATGGGAATGGAGATTTTACAGTATCCTTCCCCTGCCATGCCCCACCAAGCCAAGCCATGCCCACCAAGCCACACCCACAGAACCAGTAGTAAAAAAATTTGAAACCCATCACTGACCATTACATGTAATGACAGGCCAGCATTGTAACGTTGATTGTGCTTTCTGTTCTACTTTCATATTCATGTGAATTATAATGGTGTTGTAGACATTTTCCTAATCCTCCTCAAGCAACGTTTTCCTTTTTGTGCTTTGTTAACAGATCTAATTTATCTCCATCAAGATCTTCCTGTTCATTCTCTACATCTCCTCCCCTTCCTTATTGTTGGAATCTTAACATGGTAATTTCTTAATGTTAAATGGTCTCATATGATTGGTTTATCATATGAGATTGGTTTAGGACGTGAGTGTCAAACTCGCCACATCACGTTATGTATCGCGACTCCTCCCCCCTTTGTGGAACTAGGATGGGCCTCCGCGTGATGCATCCGACCTGTGGGCTGCCAGTTTGACAACCCTGGTTTAGGAGAAGAAAAGCCTTGGTTGGCTTAAACGGTTTACGGACTGTGGTGGTCTGTAACTCTGAGTTTTTTGGGTTGGATTGAGGAAAGAAACATGATGTTGCAATGCTTCCAGGCCTTTAGGGTCCTTGAAAGGAACTATTCAGACCAGGGGTGGGTTCTACATACCTTTACTACCGGTTTGCAATTGGGCCACGCACGTGAGTGGGGTCGGTGGGCGGAGCCTCCCGCCGGTTTTACTACTGGTTCTATAGAACTGGTGTGAACCAGGGGCAACCCACCACTGATTCAGACCATTGGTGGTGAATTTTTGTTCCATCTCATGACCTGGGACTACAAGAACTACATCCAATTCTTTATGCTTTCCAATATCTAAAGTAATCAGTGGGATAAATTAATTTAGCATTCAAACAGCCTATAATCCTACTCATTTTATCTATGAATCACGGGGACCTCTGGAAACCCTGAATAATAGTCTCAAGATTATCTAGCTGAAAATTAACCTAATACATTGGAATAGGTAAATATACTTGCCTGCCTAATACACTTGCACATTTCTTTCTCTTTCATCTGCAAGAATACAACAGAAAGCTCCGTTACAGTGGCCCCAGTTCAATAGTACAACTAAAAATGCTGCAACTAGAGTTCGTTTCATATCCTCAGAGTAACATCAGACATCTCTGACCTTTTGCAAAGGAGAACATTTCTTCTACACGGGCAGTGACTTAGGTTGAGAGAAGCAATCCTGGGATAAAAAGGAGCTATGTTCTTCTGATATTTCTCTCAATGTCAGTACAGGCAGTCCTTGATTTATGACCACAATTGAGCCCAAAATTTCTGTTATTAAGCGAGACATATGTTAAGTGAATTTTGCCCCATTTTACAACTTCTCTTGCCATAGATGTTAAGTGAATCACTGCAATTGTTAAGTTAATAACAAGGTTGTTAAGTGAATCTGGCTTCCCCATTGACGTCAGGTCACAAAAGGGGATCACTTGACCCAGGAACACTGTGGACGTCATAAATATGAACCAGTTGCCAAGCATCTGAACTTTGATTAAGTGACATGGGGATGCTGCAACAGTTGTAAGTGTGAAAAACAATCATAAATTCTTTTTCAGCGCCACTGTAACTTCAAATAGTCACTAAATGAATTGTTGTAAGTCGAGGGCTACTTTACAGTTTTGTGCTGTCGATATAGTTTCCAATGCAAATAGTTCTCATTAAACCAGAGGTGTCCAACTTTGGCAACTTTAAGACTAGCCCTGCTGGCTGGGGAATTCTGGGAGCTAAAGCCCATGAGTTGAAATCCACAAGTCTTAAGGTTGCTAATATTGGACACTCCTGCATTAAACTGTTTCTTATTACAGAAATGAATGTGGCTGTATAGTGCATCTTGGATTTTCTCAATAACGTGTGAGCCAATTCAATCAACTTAAAAGTCTAATCTTCATTTCATTTTTATACGGTAATTCATTTGTGGACAATTTTGGCAACAAATACTAGATCAAAATGTGTGTTCTGTCCCCCTTCCTCACACAGGCAAACGTAATACCAAGCACGCCTGCCAATATTTTATTAGGTAAACAGATTAGAATTCTTGGCAGACCAAGGTTTTGGCAGCAAACTGCCAAATGCCTGCCAAGACCGTTTTCACTCCTATAAAGCAGAAGAGGACTTATCTCCAGTCCATTCCAGGAGCAACAAATTATCCACGAGACAAGAGTTTAGTCAATGTTCAGTCCAAAATATATCCAAGCCGAATTTCAGAGATCACGATGTGACTTTCAGGGTTTAACTTTGTCCGTCACAAAGCCTGAAGAGCAATCCCACCCATTTTTATTCCTGGTGGGGCGTGGCTCCGTGACTCAGTTCAATCTCTGGCCCTCCCACGCCTCTTCCATTGCTGCGCACGCTTCTCCCTCCGACGCTGCCAGGGATCAAGCCAGGATTCATCATCCTCACTCCCTATCAATTGGTGCTCCGATATGCCTTCCTCCTGGCACATCCCAGGCTGTTCCTCCTGGCCTTCGGATGGAACCTGAGGCATTGCCATAAAGGAGGGTCCTGGAGAGAGAGGCCTTGTCAGTTCCTCCCCATCACCTTCTGAGTCCTCTTCCTCTGTTAGGACAGGCTCGGGAGTCGGGGTCACAACAATGTGTGATTATAACAAATAACAGCACTGTATCATACTCAGAATCATTTTACTAACCAAAAGATACTAAGCGATAGAAAGCGTAATGAGTAATACTGTCAGTCCTGGAAGACATCTTTTACTTTGGATCTTCAGGGCTGCCACATTTAGAGCTGTGGGAAACTGGGAGGCGGGATTGGAAAGATATCTAGCCATAATAACATTCTTTTCTTTGAGAATCAAGGACATCCTGCCCTGTACCTGGAGTGGGGTGACCCGGAGGCATCTCCAGGTGGTACGGTGCATTGATTGGACCATGTGATGGACATATGGGTGCTGGGGCAGGGACCTGGACTTTCTTCTGGGTGGGGAAAACCTGGAATCTTTCAGATTCAGGTTTTCCCAGATGTGCCAGTATGACATCTCTAATAAAATGGAACTTTGAGGAACTTCTAGCCTTGGAGTCTTCTTTCGTTGGGGTTGTTATTTGGAACCCTGAAAAATACATTTGAAAAGTTAAGTAGTTCGGCCAAAGTATAAATGAGTTATTAAACAGAAAAAAATCAGTATTAAAATAAGGATTCTGAGTGTCCTAAACTACATAATAATAAAATATAAAAAGTACCATATATTGAAGATGGTACTTCAAGTGTAGGTTAGTATGACCTGTGTTCCGTTCCCTGATGGCTGACCATGAAGCTGTATCAGGCAATATAGTGAACTTTACGTTTTCCCTGAAACCTCCCTCTTCCCATCCAGTCTCTCTCCCTCGAGTTCATGGCAGACTGGCACCAAGCGAAGGTGAAGCGCAAGTGTGAGGTGGCAGCTGACACAATGTTTATAAGAAATTGAGACAGATACCTCCCTAGTTCACTGAACTATAATAGAAGGTCAGTCCTTCTAGGTCACGGGTATCAAACTCGATCGTGACGTATCACAACTTTCTTGCCTTTGTGGAGCTGGGGTCGGTATGGCCTGTGCATGACCCATCCGGCCCACGGGCCGCCAGTTTGACAGGCCTGTTCTAGGTAAACCAAAAGGAGGCTAAAACTACTTTTATTAAGATTGGCTATAATTATAAAATCTTGAAAGACTTATTATGCTCATATTATTGCAAACCAATTTTCTCTGCCTTGCATTTCACTGGGTGCCCCGTTTTTGGCCTTCTCGGCCTCCAAAACCACTCTGCCATCCAAAAACAGGCCTAAGGCTTCAGTGCGTCCTGTTTTTGGCTCCTCAGCTTCCAGTACCACTCTGCCACCCAAAAATGGCCCTGTTTTTGGCCTCCTGAGGCTTTCGCACATCCCATTTTTGGCCTCAGCTTCCAGAAGACGGGTGGGGGCTGGCGGGTACGTGGGACAATGTGGGTCCCACGCAGGCTGGATTAATGGCTTCAGTGAGCCGTATCCAGCCCACGGGCCGTAGTTTGAGGAGCCCTGTTCTAACGGTTGAATCACCTCTGTAAAGGGATATATACAACTTCTACATTTGCAGAAGTTGATTAAAACTGTTTTTTATGTATGTGTATGTTTATATATGTATGTGTGTATATATACATATACATATACAGATGTATGTATATACTGTATATTAGAAACATCAATTAACATTATCAATTGTTTATATTGGTACATACATATCTTGTATAGGAAAGACCAAATTCTTTATACATCTCCAAGCCACATCATATTAAAGCAGGTATTTATGTGCAAAGCTCTTTTCAAAGAGAAGTGTAACCCAAGTATACTGTACATAAGAAAAGAGTACTTGTAGAGCAGAAAGTTTTATGAGGTATACTTTGAAGCCCAATTCCCAAACTTGCAAAATAAGTCTTTAATTTGGCAAACATTTGCAGGAGTTGATTAAAACAAGAGAGAGAGGTTTTTTAAAAAACAAATACAGAGAATCCTGCTCAGGATAATTCACTACAAGTGCCACAAGAAAATGATTGCCTCAGTAACAACTCATTTATATTTGATTCATTAAATGGAAGGTTAACTTCATTTTAAGAAAACACTTACATGCATTTCAATAGAAGTTAAAAATATTTATAGGTACATATTGGAAATATATTGAATGTTTGCTCTAAATTATTGCAATATATAAGTAGAAAAAGAGACATTTTAAAAATTTTATTTGATATCTGTAAAAACCACAATGAATCATAATTTTGATTTTAATATGAAAAATACAATATCTTGGAATTACAGGCATTATTTCTGAATTCTCTGTCAAAAGGCAGGTAGAAAAAATTGTTGACAAATATTCTAAGTTTAAATGTACTTATTAATATCAGGTAATAATAAACCCATCAATAACTCTGCTATTGGTGTTTTCTTGTTCATGATGGATATTTTCTTGTTGGAATATATATTAATGATGGAATATATGTTAAAATGTGAGATCCTTAATTATTGGCTGAGCCAGCATGCTATGTGAATAATTTTGTTTCCAGGCAAGTCCAGTACAGGTACCATAATTAAAGCTGGTGCTTTTTGGCCCATTTGTTCTTCAAGGTGTCCTTGGAGTCCTACAATATAAACAAGAGATGCAATGAGACGTTTCTATTCATTCAAGCTTTCAACATTTCATATGTGAACAAATCATATTATATATACAACTTAATTTCAAGTAATTAAACTACAGCTCTATATATGAATACAACCCATCCAATCCAGTGGGATCTGAAATAGGCGTAAGTCCAGGAAGTGGATAAGTTAACCCAGGTAATAAATGGTGCCGAGATAGATGTTTATGAAGATAAGATAGTTCATGATCAAGAGGGCGACTCATAGTATTGGACCTACTGCTAAATCTTGAGCTGTTCAATTATGGGATTATTTGCTACGTATGAATATAAATGATTGGGGAGTAGTATTTCTCAGCTTCAGCAACTTTAAAATGAATGGACTTCAGCTTCCAGAATTTCTCAACTAGTTGAAGTCCACACATCTTAAAAGTTGCTGAGGGTTAAACATTTGTCCTCGCTTTCTGCCCTGTTGCTTATGAATATTGTCTTTGCTTTTTTCTGTTGCTTATGAATACTACCTTGCTTCTGAGGACTTAAATAATGTTTCAGCCCTTGTTGCCTAGGTAATGGTTCTTGCATATTTCTGTTAAGGGCATTTCCCGAGTATATATAATGTTCCAAAAGTGACACTGTCCTTATACAAATGCTCCTTTGCCAATTCCTCTTCAGTGGGATTTGAGTCACGTTGGACTATTCCTTACCACTGCAGTCTGAGACTCCCTAATTATTTTCTTTTTGCTATCTATTATACCTCTTACTCTCCAGTTCTTTTCTACAACACTACAGTATCTTGCACACACTATAGAGCAGTGGTTATAATCAGGGGTGAAATCCAGCAGGTTCTGACACGTTCTGGTAGTGGAAATTTTGAGTAGTTCGGAGAACCGGCAAATACCACTTCTGGCTGGCCCCAGAAGTGGGGTGGGAATGGAGATTTTGCAGTATCCTTTAGCTGGAGTGGGGTGGGAATGGAGATCCTTCCCCTGCCAAGCTTACCCATCCACGCCCACAGAACCGGTAGTAAATAAATTTCAATTCCACCACTGGTTGTAATGTTGAATAGTGATCTCATGGTTAGCTTTTTGGGGGCGGGGAACAAAGGCATTATTTTGTTGTTTTTATTTATTAGCTTAATGTTAACTCGTACGAAGGAGCAACAAAAGCTTCTCTTAGATAGTATGTAACACACACACACACACACACACACACACACACACACACACACACACAGAATGAATTTCCTGTTTTTTCACAATGCTTTCAAGACAGGTCTACTTTGAAATAAATGCCACTGGATTCAGGAGGCAAAAGATTATTTTCTCCCATTATCTATTTGTGCAGCATTTTTACACTGATTTTAGCTTTGTAAAGAATAGAGCAGTCACATCATCGTCCAATGTCTTCTCATGCGATGTCACAATGCTAGAAAGCTGTTAATGGATGGAAATGGTTGATATCAGAGGTGAATATTGACAAAGCTAGACCCAAGATCAATAATCACCATAAAGGTCAAAAGGACTTCATGTTCCATGTTCAAAGCAGCTACTCATTTTATGTATTCTATCAATATTCTCATTAACTAAGCAGTTTTGGAACAATGAGATAACTGGGAATGTATCTGTGCTTACAATTCTTATATATTTGTTAAATAATTATGAGGTAGAAAGGCCATCTTTAGCAAAAATTGCCCTCATTTCAGTGAAATCCCTTCTCCTTTCATTATCTATTTTCATTGGATCTTGGCCATAACTGTCACTGGATGGGAGCTATTCACTAAAGTGTATTATAGACATCAATTTTTCTAAAAGACTGCTATTTGCCTCCTCAAATTATTTAACAAGATTTCTTAAACATATAATGAAGCAAATAAGAAAATCACCGCATAAAAATGATAACGCATCTTATTTTCTGAGACAACAGCTATCAAACAGAATGAAACATTCAAAGTGAAATTTTGTGCTAGCCAATGTCACATTTACATTTTAAACTTTGAAATTGTCTGTTAAATCACAAAAATACCTATACTGATTGCTCTGTACTTGAAAAGAAAATCAATGAACATATTTAACTTCATCAGATTGTTTAGCTGAAGTCTGCACAAGTTATATAAAACCTATATACATTTGAAATAATACTTGTAACTTGGGTTTTAGATTTTGATAGTGGTTTGTTCTCCAAGCTTGTTTCAATTTAGTTTCTGAACGTTTTGTTACCAAAGTAGGTAATATCATCAGCAAGGTTTTCTTGTAGCTTATAAATGTTTTGGGTACCAATTTGGTCAGTTGGTTGTGTGATTGGTCGTTCGTTTGGAGCTATATTTAAATTCTGAGCATCTGATTGGTTCTCTTATTGATTGACTGTTCGAATGGTCTGGTTTCTTATGTAAGCCTAAACATACTTTAGAAATACGGCTCTTATTTTGGAGATGGAACAGACACTAACAGCAACGACAAGATTTTTATCCCATCTTTTAAAATATATATATTACATATATAATTGGTCAGATCAAAGCAGCAGACATATCTAATACTCTTGCTTATTTTCTCCACGACAACAACCTGGGGACTAGTTGCAATACTATCTATCCTCTTAGCTGAGGAAGAAGATATTTGTTTCAGCAAAAGAACACAATTGTTGATAGAATATGTGGGTTTTTTGGTATCACTATGTTCATTTCTCTGATATTTCCTCTGCATTTAAACCAAATATACTGTAATATCATTTAACACATGTTTTTAAATCCCAGAGCTAATAAAGCTCCATTGCTGCATGTGCTATAAAGACGCTTCACAGCGGATCAAGTTCCTAACAGTCAACTAAGAGTTTCAGTCCCAAAAGAGGTGCCCCTGGTGTGCTGAGCACTTAACCCTTCGACCAGTACCAACATGACTATTCACAAATTATCGATGTTTCTAAATCCTTGGCAGATTGCAGACAGGTCTTGTCTCCCTTGAAGCCCAAGCATATGGCCTCTAATGGGACGGATTAAAGGGGGAGAAAAAAAAAAACCCCACAACCAAGCACACATTCAGCCTTTGCCACATGAATGCAAAGCCACAGAAATAGGAGAAGGTGATTCAACTGGACTGAACACTGCTAAATACATGATTAGCCCCTTGTTATGGATCATTTCCATTGATCTATATCTGGTTTTGCAGTACAGTTTAATTAAAGCTGTCTGGAACAAGCCTGTTCCCTAAATAATCAGCTATGCAGTGAAAATGTGAAACCTGAGGAAGGCTTGGGACCCTTTAAAGAAAAACCAAAACAAAGTGCCTAATTGACTTAGTGTTTAATAACAATAGCAGAAAATAAAGTATATTCTGGAAAATTATCTATTCTTTTACAGTCTGTCAGGATCGTGAAACCTTAACTCTTATCCACATCTCAGCTCACTTGTCTGAAGTTTGTTTCGAAGTTGAGTTATTTAAGGAACCCCAAAAATTTATCTACACATTAACTGTTTCAGAGTAAAAAAAAATTTAACAGTGCAATCTTGTTAATAGCTGCTCAGAAACATGTAGATTTATATTCAAACTTTCTTTCAGATTTGAGGGAGTTTGCAGCTCAAAAGCTGCTCAGTTCTATGGCATGGGCCAAGATTCAATTTTTTCCCTCACATCTTTCCTTTATTTTTATTCCTTTAATTTAGTGACCCTCTCCATATCCCAGCCTACCTTTAGGGGGTCCCTTAACTGTGAAGAGATTTTCAGGAGGCTGATGAGAGAAAATTCTGTTCTGCGCACATGAACCATTTCATTCACATCAGGGAAGTTGTGAATGAGAGGGATGGTCTCTAAATTGGATAAACAAACTAAGCTGGAATCTACATCTCAGCCTACCCTTATGACTACCAATTAGAGAGGAAGAGAAATTGATGAAACTGACTTCACAGCTGTTCCACCTGAACTGTAGTAAGAATTCTATCATATTGTGCATATTGCCTTATTTCATTACGTATTTTCAAATTACCTGAAGATGCGTTAAGAGCAGGGGTGGGTTCTAAATTTTTTTACTACCGGTTCTGTGGGCATGGCTTATTTTGTGGGCATGGCTTGATGGTCATGTGACAATTATTTAGGATTTAGCAGAGGTACTGGTCTACCAGGCTTTTAACTGCTTGCAGAGCTGTACTGATCTACCCATTTATTTTTGCAGGCACTGATCTACTCGTATATTTTGGCAGGCACTGATCTACTCATGTATTTTTGCAGGCACTGGTCTACTCATGTATTTTTGCAGGCACTGGTCTACCATTTATTTTTGCAGGCACTGATCTACTCATGTATTTTGGCAGACACTGATCTACTCATGTATTTCTGCAGGCACTCATTTGTTTTCTTTTAACACTGATCAGCTGTAGGGCGGCCCTTTAAAGCCCCGCGGCAAGAGTTTAAACAGTTTTTTTTTCCTCTAGCCATCAGCTGGGACTCAGGAGGCAGCAATAGATTGGGGGTGGGGCCAAATGAAAGGTAAGAACAACACGGGGGGTGGGTGGGGAGGGCGGGGCAGAACTGGTTCGGTGACGTCATATCGTCACCGCTACCGGCTCGGGGAAACCGGGCCGAACCAGAGGAACCCACCACTGGTTAAGAGGATTTGATTCTAAAAATGAGATATAGATGACAAACTGAGGATTGTTAGTGATAAAATAGGCTGACTCTAAGTAAAATGTTTTAGAGGTTGTCCTTTCAGATACTAGTGTATTATTGTACTATGATGCTCAAGAAGTCATAGAAATGGTGCCCCATGAGTGAAACCAGTCAGCTTTGAACCTACAGCCATTGCATAAAAAAGACAGCATAATGGAAAGAGAGAGAGAACACCGATTTCCAATCGGTGTGATCACAGGCAGGGCCGGATTTTCCTATAAGCTAACTAGGCTTCAGCCTAGGGCCTCAAGATCAAGAGGGGCCTACATTCAAATTGTTAGCAAAATTAAAATTACACTTTCACTATAGGTGAAAGGGCCTCATAAGTGGAATAGCCTAGGGCCTCTT